AATAGTTTATATTGATGTCATACAGTAAACATTGCCTTAAATAGGTTATCTCTATAATAAACCCATGTTATATATTTTAAACCTCCTTCAAAACTGATCATGTATATCGCATCAACTTCTAAATATAAACCTCTAATGTGTCATTAAATAATGCCCTTGTCATTTCTAAGCCGTCTTAGATAAGGTTTTATTTAACAAACTTATTGTACACAATAAAAGAGCATTCTGAATTTCTTCATAGATTTATGGTCTATTTTTTGTTTGCTGAACTTTTTAGTCAAAACGAAATTGTGATATACCTACAAATTATTTACTTTCATATAAAACTGTCTGGTTAGCTTTTCATGGGCAATAATCCCAGATTAAAGACTACTTGAATGAATATTTGTTTTATTATAATTTTTTATATATATAATTTATACTGAAGTAAATACTAAAGCAAGTTTTAGAAAAATATATTGAATAAGAAATTAGAGACATCTCAAGTTTTCACAGATAAAAAGTTTTTTAAAATCAGTTTTTATATGAATTTGAAGTTTAGGGGGTTGAACTAATGAACAAATGAACTAAATGTGTAATGAAACTCACCAAAGATACCAGGCATTTTGTATGCCAGACACGCCTTTTGTCTACAAAAGACTCACCAGTTATGCTCGAATCGAAAAAGTTAAAAGGCCAAAAAATAGTATGAAGTTGAAGAATGAAATCAAAGATTTGCAGTGATTTGCTCTGGAAGAGTAAATATGGTTTTACTTTTTTAAACAGGATTTTCGAAGTAAAAATCGGTTATTGATTTGGGGATGTACGGCGGGCGGGCGGCTGCCAAACAGTGTCCGTTCATTAACATGCATACGCTTTGACAAAATTTTTTCAAATTTAGATATGTTGTTTCCTGTGAATAAATGAAGGTCAAGTTCAATTTTCACGATTTTCTCGTTGTTGAGTTGTCGACCTTTTAGTCATTTGTGTCAGTAGCCAAAAGTTATACTTATTATATGATTGAGTTATTTCCCTTTGAACAGAAATTGAGATTTGCAAATATCATTTTCATTAGATAATAATCTATTTTTATTAAAGGATATATTTCATTACATAACATTGTGTAGATAAAATTGTTGACATTGATATATAAGTTGCAGATCTATATTAGTTTGTGACAAATGAAAGAAAATATTGGGAACTATTAATTATATATATAAAGTTTGATTACACTAAGTGTTTTTAAATAATTGTCACCTGTTATCAGATAACAAAGCATCTGGTAAATATCTGGTCAATTCATCACACAATTATGATTGGAGTGACAGATTTATTTGAAAATTTTCTGTTTCCTAAGTGTTGATGATGATAAGATCTGTAGTAGGGTATAAATAAAGTTTGAAATTTACTGTTCATTATTAGACATTTTGAAGATAATTACAGATAAGTTTTATAGATTTTTAATAGATATTGTATTAATGATAAATTACATTTTGGATTTTTTTTTCTTCTTTTCTTTGGTAAATTGTTTGAAGAATTTTGTGGTAGGTTTGTTTTGTTATTCTGTATAAACTTCTTATCTGAATGCTATATATTTTTTTTTGATGAAGCAAACTCCTTTAAAAACTAAGTTTAGTTTGTCTATTAATAAACATATATTTAGATTTCGGATTTTGGGCCCAGTATTCAAGTTTGTCCAAATTAGGGTCCAAAATTATACTGTGTTTGATTTCAGCATAAATTGAATATATATAGGGTTCTTTGAATGCTGAATCAAAACCTGTATTTATTTTCATTATTAATTAGATAATACCACAAGGTCCAAAGGGTCCTAAATTAACCTTGAGTTTGATTTCATCAAAAATTGAATTCTTGGGGTTCTTTGATATGCTGGTTCTAACAATGTACTTAGATTTTGGACATTGGACCATAATAGGTAAATGTCTGATTTAAAAATTTTCAGTTCTTTGACCACATTCATTTTGTGTCACAAACCTATGCTGTGTCAAATATTCAATCACAATCCAAATTAAGAGCTGTTTTAAGCTTAAATGTTGTGTTCATACTTGCTCAACTGTTCAGGGTTCAACCTCTGCAGGAAAATCCGGTTTGCTGTCACTCTGACAGCCTCTTGTTTGTATAATAAAAAACTTGCAGTACACTGTTTTCATTGTAGGACAGTCGGGCCAGAAGATTTTTTTTTGGCGAGTGCTAAAATTATTTCACAGGCCCAAAATGAATATTGGTTTGGTAGCCCAATTATTTTACCAAGAATTTTTTCAGTGTTGAGCAATAACAAATGCCAATAAAGTAATACAAATCGTTGTTCTTTATTCTTCAATCAACCCCTCCTGATGTTCTTATGTCTATTTGGCATCAACCTGTACTGGTGATACGGCAGACTAAACAACATAAAATAGTAACTTACAGTGAAGAAAACTTATAAAAATACATTAGTTAACTTACTTTGCATATTTTGACAGCTTCATTGTATCCATTGACAGGGTTCAGGGTTCACAACAGAAGGAAAATCAAAGGTGGGGGAGAAAGTTCTTCAAATCAGAGATTGTGTGTTGAGTTGTCAAATCGTTCCTTTTGCATAAATTGTTAATTTATGCCTTACAAGTTTTTGTCATATATAGCTAATTTGGGAAGGGGGTCTCACATTCATTTTGTAGTTGGTCACCACACTTTTAGGAACATATTAAACAAGGAGAAGTAAACACCTAATGTGGTTTCCCAGATTGCAGGGATATTAAAGTAAGGGATCCACATATAGTATTGCTTTTCATGTGATAAAGTATGCAGTATATAATTTTATTATTTTAAAGAGCTTTCTGACAAATTCAGATTTAATTTGAATTGTCTTATGGAAAACCACATGGTAAGATAGAAAAGATAAAGGAATTAATCTTTAATTTTCTTTTTAGAAATCCCCAGCCCGTGTTTGTATATCCTCCATGTTGACTGTCTGTGTCTATTCTGATGCACTTGCACGTTTTAACAGCGTGACCCAGAGTACAGGATTTCTGAAAATGGGTGTTCTGAATTTGGGGTGGTTAATTTATGAGAGTAAACTATGATTTTGAGAATAATAATGCACTCTCCCAATGATTTATTTTTGGGCCAGTAACTATCCATCTTTTGACAATTTCTAGTCACCCAATCAAGGTTTTGGTCGCCAAATGCGAATAGGCGACCGTCTGTGTCCTACGATGGTTTTATGCTGCAAACTTTAACATTTTACTGAAACCTGTTATAACTTTGTATATCATAATATCATCCAAAAAATTTATGAATACTAAAGGTATTTGGTGGTCATGTGTTTCAAGTTTTGACAAACATTTTTAATTTGTAAAATCAAATTAATCCTCAAAAACTGTTCAGGTACATTAAAATAAAATGACATATAAATAATGCAATTAATTATTCATGTTTTTGTGTCTTTTTCTTTTCTTTTGTTTTTTTGTGAGTGTTTCTTTCCAAAATAAATATAGCATATTCCTACATTCTTAAAAGGACTAGAATTACATAGGGAAATTATACAGACCAGGAAATCAAAAGATTGATTTCAGAAATTGTGTTAAAAACTAATTATATGTTTTACAATGTTCATTTAAATAAATTCTAACAAAAATTGTTAAAATCTTTGTTAGTATCTGTAAAATTAGTAGATGATTTTAAAGCTTTGTTAAACGGTTTCTGGTTAACCAGTATTGTATATTGTTTGAATTGTGTCAAACTTAAAATCATTTTATATATCATGTTTATCTATATAGTATTGTGTGAAATGACATGTCAGTAACCTAAAGAGATCAATGGGGTTATGGCAAAGGATTTAGAACTCATATATATGTGATGGCAAAAGAAGTATAACCTTGATTGTTAGAGGTATAAAGGGATCAGAATGTTTGGTTGTCTGTGATGCATAATATCCAGTCATCAATTCTATAGAATTATTGAAAGATTTAGTCAAACATCCTCTCTGCAAGAAATTTATGTATTCTTTTTTAACTCACCTGACCCAAAGGGCCAAGGGATCTTTTCTCAATACTTGGCGCCTGTCGTCCATCATCTATCATCGTCTGTTGTAGTCTGTCATCTGTCATTTTTAACTTTTACAAAAATATTCTCCTCTAAAACTACTGGGCCAAATTTAAACAAACTTGGCCACACTCATCATTGGAGTATCTAGTTAAAAAAAATGTCCGATGACACTGCCCGCCAAGCAACATGGCCATCATGGCTGAAAATAGAACATAGGGGTAAAATGCAAGTTTTGTCTTTTATCTTGAAAACTTCCATGAATAAAGAAATGTTCAGATTGATGATATCTACATATTGTATATTTGCTTCAAAACTGCCCGACAACTTCTTACAGGAGTTAAATAATTGACAAATTTAAACATTTTTTTTTTTAGATTTTGCCTATTATTTTAGAAATTATGATAGATAGAGAGAAGTTTTATATGCAAAAATGATCAGCAAGACAAGATCTGCAAATAATTTTAATGGATGAAATTGACTTTTAATGACAATTTTTACCTATTTTTTGTCTAATATCTTAAAAACAATAATAGATAGATTGAAACTTCAATAAGCAGAAATGATCAGCAAGACAAGATCTACAAATAAGTCAACATGGCTGATAAGTGTACATAGCCGAAATCACCTGCAAACTCCTTATTGAAGTTATTGCCCTTTAGTGCTGTTTTTACCAATTTTTTGGGTATTTGCCTATCATTTTATAAACTATAATAGATAGATAAAAACTGAATTAAGCAAAAATGATCAGCAATACAAGATCAACAACAAAGAGATTATTGTCATGAATTCTATTCTAGACTAGTCCACAATGTTGGAGAGAGTCCATTGTTGAAGATGCTCATAGACCTAGATGAGCGACACAGGCTCTTTAGACTAAGCTTCTAGTTTTGTTTCAGCTTTAAAGTTTTAGACAGAAAGAATTCTATCATATTTGCACGTTGTATTACATAATAATTTATTGGTTTTTTTTTCAGGATGTTTAGAAGTAGATGATGGTACCATACTAAAACATGTGCAGCGTCCACCTAAAGGTCAGAGAGAGTTAGATTTTTATGATGAAGTCTTCAAGTCAACAGACGACAACACTTTAATAGAACTTCGGCCATTTGTTCCAGAATTCCATGGTGTCATCCATGGTGAAAAGAACGGAGGTGTAGCCAAACGTAAGAAGAGCAGACCTTATTTTATGTCACAATCTCTTTGTTTAGTCTTTAAGATAAAAAGGTTTAATGTCACTTTCCATTACCACCTTTTGATCTGGTTCCTCTATGTATAATCTGTCTTCAATGATTTATAATACATAGATATAGGAGTATCCTGTGCTATCTTGATTATAAGATTTAAATAGCTGTCATGTTTAACTCCAGTTAGTTTGTATAGTCAGTTTTAAACATGATATATATATGTGTATTTTGTGAAATGTGTTCAATTACCACAAGTTGATCAGTTCAGGAAATAGGACAGTTCTATATCTATGATCTAAATCACTGATCGAGGTTAAGAAAAAAGAAATTATTTGATAAATATCCAAGGTCACCAGTGATTCAACATTTCCACTGCAGGTATTCAGGGTTACTGTAAGACTTTAGTCGCAAGTTGATTATCGTTTCCAAATCCACTACTTCTTATCAATTCTCTAGCTTAACCAATTTCTAATAAAAACAACTGTCTGTTTTACGTTTTGACAATAAATCAACGGAATTCCATAAAGATAATTTCGTATTTTGTCTTTTTTATTCTATAATAGTTGAAAATGATTATATCCACACCGTTCACATCTATATTTAGACATTCGACAAGTTAACATAAGTTAAATATAACTTAAATGGGGTGTTAGCTCCCCTTTTTAATACCAAATTTCATATTGGTTAATAAATATTTCATTTGATGTTTAATATTTACAAATTATTTAAATTGAATTGATTTTGGTATTTATGACTTATATAAAAAGACATACATTAATATACAGAATTTATTTATCTTGTTTTGAAAATTTTAATAACCAAAATTTAGAACCTTTGAAATTTATATATAGTATTTAGCAAAATATATTATGTATATCATCCACACATCAGAAACGGTTCCTAGAAGAATTGTACTGAGTTTGTAGTAAATATAAGATCTTGGAATTGTGGTACGTAAATAGACTGATGAGATAATTTTTCTTATTAGATAAAATTAAGTTAAAAAGACTTTTGCAATGTTGAAGTGTGCCATGCGTCAGTGAATTCATATTTTCTTGAAAGTCTTATATTTTTCACGCCAATGTAATAATTGTGAAATAAGTCTTTACCTTTATTTTCCAGACCAGTACCTGAAGTTAGAAAACTTGATAAAGAAACTTTCCAAGCCATGTGTTTTGGACATAAAGATGGGGAGAAAAACATATGACCCAGAAGCCTCACCAGAGAAAGTGGCATTAGAAATAGCCAAATTCCCCCCTGTCATGCAGCTAGGCTATCAATTCTCAGGAATGCTGGTAAAACACTATTCACTGTATAATTATGTATCAATTCAGTAGTTAGTGCTTCAGTACTTACATGATATATAACATGTGACAATATCCTAAAGTTCCACATTGACAGATAAAGAAATTACAAGTGAGAGGTTTAGCTAGTATAAAACCAGGTCTGTTATGAATTTTCCTTGGAGTTCGGTATTTTTGTTATTTTACTTTTTACTACATAAAAAGAAAGTAAGGTTTCAACTTCCACAAGGCAAAGTTGACAATAGCTTTTCTTTAAGGTCGCTTTTGGTCTTATAGCTTATTACGTTTGTACGTAGTAATACATCCCTGGCTTCATCAGGTCAGAAGTTAGTGTTTTAGATTAATTGTAATAATTTTATAAGATATTTCCCTAAAATTCCTTGTTGATAAATTCAGAAAATATTAAAAAAATAGGTTCCAAATCTATCAGGCAAAGTTGACTGTAGCTGATTTTGGTTTTTCCTTTAAAGTCCCTTTTGAAGATTAATCTCCCAACATTTCTACACATCCCTTGCTTTCTAATGGATGGGTTTGAGTGTTCATGATGAAGGTAAATCCAGGATGGCGCTTCAGATGAGAAAAATTAATAAAGTGTAATTTTCATTTATACTTTTGAAGTACAAAGAAGGCAATTGTATAAATAGTGTCATCACTTGGAACCAGTCTTCATCTATTAAGTTACCTTTTACATAGTCATTTGTTCATACCATGTGAGTTTGGTTAGCCATTTAGCATTTAACTTTAGTAGAATCATTCATTGGTTGGATCTCTTCCAAATTTTCAAAATCTTCATCACTGCATAAGTATCAATAAGGGCATCTGACTGGCTTTTACATTTCTAGTGTATGTTGAAATCATTTGACCTATTTAGACCATGCATTGATTGAATGTTCCTTTGTTAAAAATTATGTCTTGCAGGCGATACGTTTCTTAATGGTGCTTAGCTGTTTTTGTCTCGCCATGACAGAGTCAAAAAGCAAGACTTAGGTATGCTCTTTCCTGTGTTGTCGGCTTGTTGGCGGCAGCAGTGTCAAAAAATGTACTATTAATGATAGTATAAGCATTTGCAAGTCTCCTTTTCAATGGAGATTATTTGGCACCACCCCCTATCAAGGTTCTTTGACTTTGAAACTTTTACATTGTTTACAAGTAAAAGTTTGTTTTTAGGTAAGTGTTTAGGGAATCACTTATGATAAGTCAATAGCATTTGGTATGCTGTTGTATTAACATTGGCATTTCTCATTTCCATGGAAATTATTTGGCCCTGCACTCTGAATCATGGTTCATTGACTTTGAATGTTTTGCATAGTTTATATGTTTAAATATTGCCATTTGGATTCAATATTTGCATTATACTATGAAAATTTCAAAAAAGGCGAGACATATTTCTGTGTTAACAGTTTATTAATGTACAAACTAAATAAGTTTCACATTATCAGAAATATGATAAGAACAAAATCTGTATCTATTATTTAGTTTATCTGCAGAGAGACTCAATGTACTTTCAGTTTGACATTTGGTATATTGAAATAGCTTATTTGAGAAACTTTGAAAATCTGTTAATTTAATGCAGTTAAGAGGGTAAGCATTCATTGTAATGGTGAATAACAATATAAGCAAAAAAACAGAGGTCTGCCTCTTTATAGATCTACTTGATTATAGTTAGAAAGAAGGAAAAAAATCGGAAAACCTCATACTAAATGCATATATACATTTTTCAGAAGTTTGACATAGATAAAAACAAGATGGTGAAATATGATAAATATTTCTGTAAAAAGTTAACAGAGAAAACAATGGTGGTTGATGGTAAGTGTATTACAATGATTGCAATTTTTTTTAAATGGGTTAATAATTGGAAATTTTAGAACAATTGTGAATTTATCAAACTAAGACCAAGACTTTTTCTGTTTTTATACAACCGCAAAAAAATTTTGTGGTCGTATATTGGTATGACGTTGGCCTCGTCGTTGTCGTCGTCCGAAGACACATTGGTTTTCACACTCTAACTTTAGTTTAAGTGAATGGATCTTTATGAAATTTTACCATAAGGTTCAATACCACAAAAGGAAGGTTGGGATTGATTTTGGGGGTTATGGTACCAACAGTTAAGGAATAAGGGGCCAAAAAGGGGCCAAAAATAAGCATTTTTGTAACTTCCAGACATAACTTGTGTGTTAGTTTATGGATCTCTCTGACATTGTACCACAGGGTTCCATATCATAAAGGGAATGCTGGGATTGATTTTGGGGGTAATTGCCTCAAAATTTTGGGAATTAGGGGCCAAAAAAGGGGAAAAAACAAGCATTTTTCTAGTTACATGACAATAACTTATGTGTAAGTGTATAGATCTTTCTGAAATTGTACTACAAGGTTCCATATCACAAAGGGAAAGCTGGAATTGAGTTTGGGGGTAATTGCCCAAAACGTTTAGGAATAAGGGGCCAAAAAGGGGCCAAAAATAAGCATTTTTCTAGTTTCCAGACAATAACTTGTGTTCAAATGTATGGATCTCTCTGAAATTGTACTGCAAGGTACCATACCACAAAGGGAAGCCTGGGATTGATTTTGGGGGTAATTGCCTCAAAATTTTAGGAATTAGGGGCCAAAAAGGGGCAAAAATCAAGCATTTTTCTAGTTTCAGGACAATAACTTGTGTGTAAGTGTATGGATCTTTATGAAATTGTACTACAAGGTTCCATATCACAAAGGGAATGCTGGTATTGATTTTGGGGGTAATTGCCTCAAAATGTTTGGAATTAGGGGCAAAAAAGGGGCAAAAATACAAGCATTTTTCTAGTTTCATGACAATAAGATGTGTGTAAGTGTATGGATCTTTATGAAATTGTACTACAAGGTCACATATCACAAAGGGAAAGCTGGAATTGAGTTTTGGGGTAACTGCCCAAAACATTTAAGAATAAGGGGCCAAAAAGGGCCAAAAATAAGCATTTTTCTAGTTTCCAGACAATAACGTGTGTTTAAGTGTATGGATCTTTATGAAATTGTACTACAAGGTTCCATATCACAAAGGGAATGCTGGGATTGATTTTGGGGGTAATTGCCTTAAAATTTTTGGAATTAGGGGCCAATAAATGGGCAAAAAAACAAGCATTTTTCTAGTTTCATGACAATAACGTGTGTAAGTGTATGGATCTTTATGAAATTGTACTACAAGGTTCCATATCACAAAGGGAAAGCTGGAATTGAGTTTGGGGGTAATTGCCCAAAACATTTAAGAATAAGGGGCCAAAAAGGGGCCAAAAATAAGCATTTTTCTAGTTTCCAGACAATTACTTGTGTTCAAGTGTATGGATCTCTCTGAAATTGTACTGCAAAGTACCATACCATAGAGGGAAGGCTTAGATTGAGTTTGAGGGTGATGAATCATAAGGGGGTTCAAATAATTTGGGGGGAGGGATTTTTTTTCCCTTTTTTTTCTTTTAAATTTTCCATTTTAAATTGGTTATTTCTGATTTATATGTAAGAGCAAATAATAATGATATGGTTTGAATAGGTCAATTAATAATTTATAAGTTCTTAGACCACATTCATTCTGTGTCAGAAACCTATGCTGTGTCAAATATTTAATCACAATCCAAATTCAGTGTGTATCAAGCTTGAATGTTGTGTCCATACTTGCCCCAACTGTTCAGGGTTCGACCTCTGCGGTCGTATCAAGCTGCGCCCAGCGAAGCATTTTATTAAGGAATGATACAGAATGTAACCAAGTATGAAATTATGTAGATGATAGTAGCTGAAATACAATTTTATCAGATTAATATTCTTCTCAATCTGCAAGTCACGTTTGTCAAAAAATGGTTTTTAGTTGGAAATATTAGATTTTATTGTGTTCAGCTACAATTTTCCAATGACTTACATCTTTCATAATAAAAACTGGAACAGTTGATGGACTTATCTATGGAAATACAGAATTAATTTATTTTGACATTTTTACCTAATATGTCTTCGTTTTGCTCCCATATTGTTGTCAATATAATGGAATTCTATGCAACTGTCATACAAGTGAGAGGTTTAGCTAGCTATAAAACCAGGTTTAATCCACGATTTTCTACACAAGAAAATGCCGTTACCAAGTCAGGAATATGACAGTTGTCTTCTATTAGTTTTATGTGTTTGAGCTTTTGATTTTGCCATTTGATAAAAGACTTTCCATTTTGAATTTTCATTGGAGTTTGGTATTTTTGTTATTTCACTTTTTAGTCAACTCAGTATGAAGCTTTTTTGAGCTCATTAGCAGTGCTCACTTGTCCTGAATATGCATGAAACATTTCCAACTGAACATTTATAAGCAAACAAAAATCAATCAATCAATCATGAAAAAGCTTCATATTGGCACTTTATATAATATAATGTATGCATCTGACATATTAAATCATGCCAATGTCCAACATTCTTCATATTTTGCAATATTACCATTATGAGTTATCTTGATAATTATATTTCTCATTTTAGGATTAGGTGAATTTTTTCGTCAAGGAAAACACTATAGAAAAGACTATATCCAAGTCGTGGTTGACAAATTAAAATCAATAGAAACCTGGTTCTTAAATCAGAAAAAATATGCATTTTATGCCAGTTCATTGCTGTTTGTTTACAATGCATCTGTAGACAATACTGAAGCACAAGATATAGTGTTGTGTTCTGAAGGAAAGGAAGAAAAACTGGACAGTATGGAAGATAAGAAAATAAACAAGGACAGTGAATCCGACATTAATCAAACTGACAATCGACTCAGTGAGGAAGGAAGTGACGAAACAGAAAATACTTCTTGTAACCATAGCAATAGAGATAGAAGTTTTGTAGATGTACGAATGATTGATTTTACCCATGTGTTTCCGTCAGAAGACCGAGATGAGAATTATATATTTGGATTACAAAACTTGATAAAACATTTACAATCTCTGCTTGAGATTTAATTCCTTATTTTTTACCACAAAATGTGCAAATATGTGTGAGTGCCTTAATGTTTCAAGATCAATACTAAAGTGTTATGTGGTTATGTGGAGCTTTTTATTTTTACTCACAATAAATTTTTTACACAAATTGTTTGTTTGTACATAAAGAACTGTTAACATACTTCAAAGATCTGTGGCTCTTCTTTTTTCATACGGCATTAAGAAAAAATATGTTTCTAATTACCTAGTTAACCTTATTATACACCTGGCTCAAATAAAGAAACAAATCATATTTTTTCCAAGCATATATATTTTTATAGATCTTTTACTTTTTAGACTTTTTAAAATTTTGATTTGCACTGCCATTTTTAGATACCCTGAGAATGTAGACTATATTAAACCTTTGATCTGATTTTAAGCTCTGCTTATGACAGCTATTGTACAGTGGATGTTTTATATGTCATTACATAAATACTGAAATAAAGTACAACTGAGGAGGAGTTATTCCCCTTCCTTAAGGTATTATTTATTTCCCATGTTAACTTCCCATCACAAGGTTAACAACTCCTTTGAATGGAGAGTCACTTGTATCAAAATATAATTATTTTTCTCAGGTGAGCAGTTGATAATATACAGATTGTTTAAAATCATTGCATATGTAACATTTTTAAGTTGTCGTGTTCATATGGATAATTTGTAAGGTGTTTATGATCTCTTAATGTTGTTTGTACTTCAATGATGGTATTCAGGCATTACAATGTTAAAAATAATATAAGAAGTCAGGTTTCACAAAGAAACAGTTTTTCAGTGTGCTTGAAATAATTTCCCTTATAGAATCTAGTCTATATGCTTATCAGGATAAGATACATTTAGACAGGTTAAGTGTAAGGGACAACAAAAGATTGATGTCTAAGCAGGCTGTCCTGCACTCTGAAATCAAATTTAAGTGACATGTGACCTTTTCAAAACCTACTTTCTTTAATAAGTGACCTGGTGACCTTCAGCAATTTCAAATGTGACCTTGTGACATAATCAGTATACCCTACTGGAGAAACAAGGTTATGAGCAGTACGTTTCTTTTAGAAATGTTTGTCTTTCTGATATTGTAAAAGATGATCAATGTAGAACAGTTAGTTGTTTAGGTCAGGGAATGAGTCAGAATACCTCTTTATAATGGTGAGTGATTTTTACATTGTTCGTGTGCTATAAACATGATAATCAGCTTTAGTATAATTTTTGGCAATCATTTGCTTAATGAGAAGTACTAGGTATATGAACCCATACACAACTTAGTATACTGTCTGTCATAATATAATAATAGTCAATGTTTGTGACTGTTAATATGATAAATATTGCCAAGTACAGATCCAGAATATTTTTTCTGGGTTCCATTTTAAAAAGTTGAATTATTTTTACCCTGTTACCTTTTTCTGAATCAACCGTTGATAAGGAAATATATACTGAATAAAGGCTTGTATAGTCCGTGGTTTTATTCTCCAAAATTGAACCTTCCAGACAGGGGATTGGACTATAGAGTAGGATAAGCAAGAAATAAGAGAAAAAAATCGATTTCTTGAGGTGGTTTGTTTACATTCCGCCATGTTTGTTATTGAAATTGGAAAGGGTGCTCTTATCATTTTCAAAACTAATATTTTTACCTAATCCATATTAATATGTTATTTTTGTTCAATATCAAATTAATACTGATTAATTTAAAAATTAAATGCTCACTACAAATTTCTCGTTTCTTTTCACTGCATTGCTTAAAATAAACTGGAATCTGCTTGAATGTAACGGAACGAAAAAAGTATAAAAGTCAACCGTCAACTCTTACACAATTGTACTTTTTTAGTATCAAAACTTTTTTTACACAAGGTTTGTACTACATATTTAAAGTCCCAGTTTTGTACTTCTGCAGTGTAGTAATACAAAAGTACACTAAATAAATAGTACTTTTTTTCATTTTAATTTAATAGAAAATTTTACTGAAAGTGTAATATTATAAAAAAAAATACCGGACTGGTACAAATAGAAATATGACCTTCAATGTACTACAAATCAAACGTATAAAACTATTACCATCAACTTTTAAGTCCAGTACTGTGAAATTATGGTACTGAATTAACACACTAATTTCAAAAGTATTATTATTTAGGTATGTTTTCTGTACTTCAAATTAATGTTACTACATAAGAATACATGCCAAAGTAGTTGTGTACAGACACTTACTCTTATGTTTTGTACAGATCTGTGTAAACATTCCGTTTTGTCATCTGTATAATATTCATTAAAGGTTTGTGAAATAGGAAATTTTGTTTGGCTATTGCGTTTGTATGCTTGAGTATATATATTGTAACTATGTATATGATGAACAGAAAGTAAATTAAAGTGTTTCCATGGAAAAATGCATTGCTATGAAAGCGTTCTCTAGATTGACCTTGTGTGAAGACATTAGTAGGCAATATTTTTGTGGTAGCTATGAAAGAGGGATAGATAATACCGTAGAAAAATTGAATTGATTAATGGAACATTTAAAAATATTATACAAACCACTTAACAGTTATGTTGTAACAAACAAAACCATAAATGATGCATTAAGTGTGAAAAACTTTGGATTTATATAAAAATCACCAATATATATTTCATAAAAGAATTTAATCATCCTTTGTTTATTGTTTATTGTGGCGTGCAGTTTAAATTTGTTTTCCAAATAATTGACACATTTGTAGTTATATAAGGCTCCTTACAAAAAAACTGTATATAGTTTAAACTGTGTTTTTGGTTTAGGAAATAGGGTTTTTTGCACCTCACTGAATATTCAGTAATAATCAGAATTAGGTTGACTTCTTGTGTGAAACCAAGCCACCAACACCAACCTCCTCCCCCCCAGAAAAGGTAACAATTTGTCTCGATAACCTTACTTGCTACTTGCCCCAAACACTCCCTTTTATATAGTTGATATGATTAATTCCAAACACTAAACTATAAATCAACTCTTTTATCTGTTTTAAAAAATATAACGCAAAGAGACATTTTTTTTATATTGAATGAGAGGTCATAGTTGAGAAATGTTATGAATTAATGTGTAAATAAATATTCATCACTTTCAGAGGTTAGCATTATCTTTAAATTATGTCAAAAGTTTTAAAAACATAATTTACTTTTAGTTGGATACATACATGGATTTTTCAACCATGAAATTTATATTTACTAAGAATATGAGTCTGAAATTATTTTGATTTTTAGGTTAAATAAACCTGGTATCAACAAAAATATAATTATTCAATATTGACAGCTTCATGTACAAGTTTTATATATCATTAAGTGAATAGTACAAATGTCTCAACCAATCTGGAACACGTTTAATAAACTGAATTAATGCTGAATTTTTAAATGTTTAACATAGGTAGAACATGAAAGTAGATAATTGTGCATATATTTTCCTCAATTTTCTTATTATTGATATAACAAGCAAACAAGCATTGTTTTATAGACAGTATTTATTTTAACACTTTCCATATGGTGCTAGGAGTTCATATATACAATGTAATAGGTTATCTCCCCTAATTTAAAAAAAATGTTTTTTTAATTCTATATTATAGATATTCACCATTCTAACATGACGTTCTTCAAACGCTTTGAGTACACACCCGTGGTAAAATATGAATATATTGTTTGGGCTGTTCCAATCATACTCCCGCGTCACATGTTTTTTTATGAATGAGCTACCTGACGTCATAGAACGATGACGTAAGAATATAAACATTTTACGGGAAAATACACGCTTGTGAAACCGAAAATCATCACAACAAGGAAACGTAAACAAACGATGCAAAAATGTGTTATATAAGCCATTTTTTATACGACCGCAAAAAAATTTTGTGGTCGTATATTGGTATGACGTTGGCGTCGTCGTCGTCGTCGTCCGAAGACACATTGGTTTTCGCACTCTAACTTTAGTTTAAGTGAATGGATCTTTTTGAAATTTTACAATAAGGTTAAATACCACAAAAGGAAGGTTGGGATTGATTTTGGGGGTTATGGTACCAACAGTTAAGGAATTAGGGGCCAAAAAGGGGCCAAAAATAAGCATTTTCTAGTTTCCAGACAATAAATGTGGAATGGTGTATGGATCTCTCTGAAATTATACTACAAGTTTCCATACCACAAAGGGATGGTTAGGATTTGCTTTGGGGGGTTATGGCTCAAACCGTTTAGGAATTAGGGGCAAAAAAGGGGGAAAAACAAGGTTGTCCTGGTTAATGGACAAATACTTTAGTACAAAACATAATTTAAAGCAGTGTAAGGGAGATAAATCAAATACATCATTGAAATTATCTCCCTTACACTGCTTTTAAATTATGTATAAAGTAATGGTTAATGAACAATAAAGATAATTTAAAACAGTGTAAGGGAGGTAATCCAAATACAACGTTTTGGTTACTTCCCTTACACTGCTTTTAAATTATGTTTAAAGAAATGCATATTTATAAAGGAAGACCAGTAAAAATATCTGCAAATGTTGCATCATTTTTTTTTACAAAAAAATCCATATGAAAGATTTGACACTATATTTTTTATTCTATTATAAAATAGATTAAGTTAGCACTATGGTAAATTTAAATGGGTAATTATGGTTGCCAACTCCATTGGAAATTTGAATTGAGATTATGACCATATCTTGAGGGAAAGAATTTTTTGGGGGAAAAAAGGGGGGGGGGGGATAAAAAGAAATTGTGGGGGGTCAATTTTTTCTCATTTCAGATTTCAGAAATTAAAAAGAATTATTCTTCAAATATTATTTTTTTTTCAAATTTCAAATATTGAAAAATTTCAAGAAGTAATCTTTAATTGCACAGTATGGCGCATTAGATTTGTAAAATCTTTGATCACATTTATTTATTTGTTATGCCGAATCTAACAGTGTATTTAGATTTTTAATTTTGGGTCCAGTTTTCAAAATGGTCTACATTAAGGTCCAAAGGGTCCAAAATTAAACTTTGTTTGATTTTAGCAAAAATTGAATATATGAGGTTCTTTGATATGCTGAATCTAAACATGTATTTAGATTTTTGATATTTGGCCCAGTTTTCAAGTTGGTCCAAAATTAAAATTTGTTTGATTTCAACAAAAATTGAATATATGGGGTTCTTTGATATGCTGAATCTAACCATGTATTTATATTTTTAATTTGTGGACCCCGTTATCAAATTGGTTCATATTGAGGTCAAAAGGGTCCAAAATTAAACTTTGTTTGATTTCATCTAAAATTGAATTATTGGGGCTCTTTGATATTCCAAATCTAACCGTGTATTTAGATTTTTAATTTTGGGTCCTGTTTTTTAAATTGGTCTACATTAAGGTCCAAAGGGTCCAAAATTTAACTTAGTTTAATTTTAACAAAAATTGAATTCTTGGGGTTCTTTGATATGCTGAATCTAAACATGTGTTTAGATTTTTGATTATGGGCCCAGTTTTCAAGTTGGTCCAAGATAGGGTCCAGTATTTAAACTTTGTTTGATTTCAACAAAAAATGAATATATGGGGTTCTTTGATATGCTGAATCTAAACATGTATTTAGATTTTTGATTATGGGCCCAGTTTTCAAGTTGGTCCAAATTGGGGTCCAAAATTAAACTTTGTTTGATTACATCAAAAATTGAATTATTGGGGTTCTTTGATATGCCAAATCTAATCGTGTTTTTAGATGTTTAATTTGGGTCCCGTTTTTTTAAATTGGTCTTCATTGAGGTCCAAAGGGTCCAAAATTAAACTTAGTTTGATTTTAACAAAAATTGAATTCTTGGGGTTCTTTGATATGCTGAATCTAAACATGTGTTTAGATTTTTGATTATGGGCCCAGTTTTCAAGTTGGTCCAAGTTGGGGTCCAAAATTAAACTTTTTTTGATTTCAACAAAAATTGAATATATGGGGTTCTTTGATATGCTGAATCTAACCATGAATTTAGATTTTTTATTTGTGGCCCCGCTATCAAATTGGTTCATATTGAGGTCAAAAGGGTCCAAAATTTAACTTTGTTTGATTTCATCAAAAATTGAATTATTGGGGTTCTTTGATATTCCAAATCTAACCGTGTATTTAGATTTTTAATTTTAAGTCCCATTTTTTTAAATTGGTTTACATTAAGGTCCAACAGGTCCAAAATTAAACTTAGTTTGATTTTAGCAAAAATTGAATTCTTGGGGTTCTTTGATATGCTGAATCTAAACATGTGTTTAGATTTTTGATTATGGGCCCAGTTTTCAAGTTGGTCCAAGTTGGGGTCCAAAATTAAACTTTGTTTGATTTTAACAAAAATGGAATATATGGGGTTCTTTGATATGCTGAATCTAACCATGTATTTTGATATTGGACATTGGACCATAATAGGTAAATTAAAAAAATTCAAGTTCTTAGACCACATTCTTTCTGTGTCAGAAACCTATGCTGTGTCAAATATTTAATAACAATCCAAATTCAGAGCTGTATCAAGCTTGAATGTTGTGTCCATACTTGCCCCAACTGGTCAGGGTTCGACCTCTGCGGTCGTATCAAGCTGCGCCCCAGCGAAGCATTTTATTGTATACATATAAGACATATAAGTCCAATTATCATTTAGATTCATCCAAACCTATCTAAATATGTTATTGTAAATAGTTTAAGCATGTCATTTATTCAGTTTGCTCCGGTCTTTTACGTCAATTTAATAGTGCGTTTATTTATGGGAACGGCAAATAATGCCTTCATCTAGAGCGCTTCGATCCAAAACAATTGCCGTATTTGTCCTATTAGAATCGAAATAATTCATGGGGGCTTGAATATATCGTGATTTTACCACGGGTTGTCCTTTATAAATTTCGATTGTATAGAAATAGAAATACTTTTAAGTTTAAAATGGGATACCAGGATAGCTTCAATAAAATTTTAAATTCAGAATTTGCACACTTTTAGACAGATTAAGTTATATAACAAATTATTACTCCTACAAATTTTAATAGAAATACGTGTATTCTTTATTTGGAAAAGGTGGTTTCCCATGGTAATTTAGGAGTTGTCAGCTCAAGGTGGATATTTCTTATGTTAATTCAGAAGATAAAGAGACATATGGAAATATTTTGGACTTTGGTATAGTAATAGTTTTGATTAATACCATTGCACTAGTAATAAGTGAAAACAGCACAGAGAATGCTATTTTATTCCAATCTGCGCTCACTTGTGTATGTGTGTGGTTTTTTTGTTGATAATCAGTGGCATTATTCCTATAGAAATTTAAAGAATTAGAAAAAACAAAAAATGCTGATATATTTTTATTACAAATGAAAATTTATATGTCTGAAGGTAAATACATCTATTTTATGAAATTGGATCAACTGAAATACTGAAACAACAGTTTATACAGAGGCAGTTTGGACCAAAATTAACCAAAATGTAGTTTTTCTGGTCAATGTTAAGTCAAGTTTTATATCAGAATGACATTCTTGTTACGTTTTTACATCTTTGAAAGTTGTAAAGCAGATGATACATCCCTTTTCAGGTTAAATTGATTTTTTTTTACCTTCCCATACAGTTCTTATTTTTTTAAAGATAAAATTCTGACATAATTTGATTTTAAGGGAGATAATTAACACTGGCTTTTTACCCTCAATCAAACAAAAGTAATTGTTTACTATATTCATTTAAAATGTCAGAGTAATATTTTCTGGGGTTACAATCACTTTGTCTATTTTGTTGAAAATATATATTGTAATATTTTACATTGTAACTATTTTGTAATATTGTGCATGTTTTATGAGAAACGTATGAATAATAACTGTGATAATTTGTAATTTCTATAAATATATATTTATATTTTGTCAAAATACTTGTTAATGCATTAAATATCTTTCAAGCTGACCATAGACTTATTGTTTTGATTTTTTTAAAAAGCTTGATAATTTCGTTGTGGTGGTGTTCTGTTTTGCTTTGATTAAACAGTATAATTATATGGGACAGTTCTGAAGACACTTTATTTACCTTCAGATTTCTATCTTATTACTTGTTCTAAAATTTATTTTATTATGTTCTATTAATTTTTAAAACAATGATCATCAGAATAGGATGAGAGTATATATGTCCGAATTGGTTACTAAAGAAAGGAGAAATTGACCAAGAATTATCTCTAAAAAAGTGAGACATAGGTATGCTGTTTCCGGCGGTGGCGGTGGCAACAATGTATTAGTTTGTGATTAGGTCATGTTTGTTGTGAACCACTAGTGGTAGATCAATGATATTTGGTATGCAGTTGAATTAGCATTGGTACATCTCATTTCCATGGAGATTATTTGGCCCTGCCCCCTCAGTCATGGTCTATTGACTTTGAAACTTTTGCTTAGTTTACATGTATTAGTTTGTGGTTATGTCAGTTTGTGAGGAACCACTAGTGGTAGGTCAATGGTATTTGGTATGCAGTTGTATAAGCATTGGCATATCTCATTTCCATGGAAATTATTTGGCCCAGCCTCCTCAGTCATGGTCTATTGACTTTGAAACTTTTGCTTAGTTTACATGTATTAGTTTGTGATTAGATCAGTTTAAGATGAACCACTTATGTTAAGTCAATGATATTTTGTATGCAAATGTATTGGCATTTGCAAGTCTTGTTTCCATGGAGATTATATAGCCCCAACCCCTTATCATGGTTCATTGACTTTGAAACTTAGTTTACAAGTTAATGTTTGTGTTTAGGTTTATTAAAAGGGAACAACTTATGATAAGTCAATGGTATTTGGTATGCAGTTGTATTATCATTGGCACATCTCATTTCCATGGAGATTGTTTAGCCATGTACCTTCAGTCATGGTTCATTGACTTTGAATATTTGCATAACTTACATGTTAAAGTATTGCTATTTTAATTTCAACATTTGCATTATCTAAATTGCAAAAAGGCGAGAATATCTCTGTGATAATAGTTTGTTAATCCAGCCATGCTGTATCTATGTTATCACTCCAGATTTTAAGATGGTGCGGAATTCTGATTCATATCGTGAATCTAATTATGTGTTTTATGACTTATGAAAGTTTATACACCATTTTATTCACCTACTGCCATTTTGACATGTTATTAACCCTTGAATTGAGAAAATACAGGTCCAACAGCTACTTAATTTTAGATACACACTCGCATATAGTTCATGTGTAAATAAAAATTTATGATATATTACTTTTTATGAATAAAAATGAAAAAGTAATATATCAATTATAATCAGTTAATAAGAATTATAAAAGCATTGTATTAGTATCTTATGCTTGTGTAAGTAATTGAATAAAATTTGGTATAAAAGATGTGTATTGATATCAAAGTTGATTCCCACACTATTTTCAAATGAATTATTGCAATTCTTTCATTAGGCAAAATAGCCTGAGAGTACTGCTGTAATGTAATCTAAGTTGACCACAGTTAATATCTCTTGAGTTACATAATTGAATACTTATTACACAATTAACTTAATAAACAATTCTACCACCTCGGTAGTCTCATGGTAGCGTGTTAGCCTCGAGTGCGGGTGATCGTGGGTTCGAACCCCGGCCGGGTCTAACGACTTTAAAATTGGTATTTGCTGCTTCTCCGCTAAGCACGCGTCATTAAGGAGATAGAGCAGAGACTGGTGGGCTCGGAGTCAGAATAATGTGTCCGGGTAAGGTGACATGTCTTCCTACCGACTGTTACCTTGTGAACTAGCACGTTGAGCAGCCATCCATCATCATCATCATCAAAATAAAGAATTCTTGACCTCGATATTACACCTATAATTACATTTGATCTACACTGCATAAAATTATTCTGTAATCAGATGTGGATACTAAAAAATTCCAAAGATCTTTTAAAGTACGTACAATCTAAGACTCTATCATCTTGCAATAGTATTAAAACATTTGACTTTTCTACACTTTACACAAGTATTCCCCATTCCAAATTGAAAGACAAATTGAAAGAGTTGGTCCTTCTTTGTTTCATTAAACAGAATAGCATACGTAGATACAAGTTTCTTGTCTTGGGGATGGATAAATCGTACTTTGTAAAAAATCTTTCTGATTCGAACAAAAAATTCTCTGAAATTGACATTATCAAGATGCTTGATTTCTTGATTACATATAAGAAGATGTGGTATGAGTGCCAATAAGACAACTCTCCATCCAAGTCACAATTTGTAAAAGTAAACCATTATAGGTCAAAGTACGGCCTTCAACAAGGAGCCTTGGCTCACACCGAACAGCAAGCTATAAAGGGCCCCAAAAATGACTACTGTAAAACCATTCAAACAGGAAAACTAACGGTCTAATCTATATAAAAAACGAGAAACACTTATGAACCACATCAACAAACGACAACCACTGAACATCAGGTTCCTGACTTAGGACAGGTGCAAACAAATGCAGCGGGTTTAATCGTTTTGATAGGCTCCAACCTTGACCTTACCTGAAACAATAGTGTAACATCACAACATAGAAAGACACACTATAAAATATCAATTGAAATGGCTTAACTCAATCAAAAGACATATTAACAAAAACAAATGAACATACACTGAACGAATAAATTTGATCTATGACACAATGTAAATACAAAATTAATAAAACAAGGGGGTTAGATGTAAACAATATAAGAAAGACAACCATAACCTTGGACAAAATGCCGCCCAAATAAAATAACGTTCACCGGTAAAATAAAAATAATATTGTTGTAAGGTATACATGGAATGTGGAAATGATTTTTACAAAATAAATAATTTTATTGGCAACATATTTGTTACGCTTGGAGGATTTTTTTTCAACAAACAATCGGCATTCCCAGAGGAACCAAATGTGCTCCTCTTCTTGCCGACTTGTTCGTTTATTCATATGAGTCTGAATTCATACAGGAACTTCTTAGGAAGAAAGAAAAGAATTTAGCAGTATCCTGCAACTTCACTTTCCGCTATATAGATGATGTTCTCTCACTAAATAATTCAAAATTTGGACTATGTTGAACGCATCTTTTCCATTGAACTTGAAATAAAGGATACAACAGATACAGTTAAGTCTGCCTCAGATCTTGATTTACATCAATAAATTGACAATGATGGTCGGTTAAAAACAAAAGTTTACGACAAAAGAAATTATTTCAGCTTCCCAATTGTTAACTTTCCATTTCTGTGTAGCAACATTCCAGCAGCGCCTGCATACGGAGTTCATATTTCCCAGTTGATACGATATTCCAGGGCTGTATTTCCTATCATGATTTCCTTGATAGAGGGTTGCTTCTCACAAGGAAGCTATTAAACCAAGAGTTCCAAGTGGTGAAGTTGAAATCATCCCTTCGTAAATTTTACGGACGTCATCACGAGTTGGTTGCTCGTTATGGAGTATATATCCGTTTCACAGATGACAACGGATATGTTCCAATTGTCGTAACTACAATCCCGTCCACTTTTCCCTGAATGTGACGTACCGAATTAGACTTATCACCGGGTTTGTACTAACATAAGCAACACAACGGGTGCCACATTTGGACCAGGATCTGCTTATCCTTCCGGAGCACCGGAGACCACCCCCAGTTTTTGTTGGGGTTCGTGTTGCTCAGTCTTTAGTTTTCTATGTTGTGTTTTGTGTTCGGTTGTTTGTCTTTTTCTTTTTTAGCCATGGCGTTGTCAGTTTATTTTTGACTTGAGTTCGAATGCCCCCTCAGTATCCTTCGCCTCTTTACTTCTGTAAATTGTGTGTGAAAGATGAACGATAAGATATGTATTTTGCCCAATCATCTGATATTAGTCAATAATTTAAATATCAGACTAGCTACACTAAAAAAATCTAAAATTAAAATATCTTTGGGCAAATGAATACAGATTTTATAGTAAGAACATCAAAATGAAAATAACTGAAATAAATATTAAAAATGAGATCAGAAAAAAATATCAGACTAGCTACACTATTGGCTGGATCCCAGCAACAACGACGCTTTGACTGTCTCGCCTTTCGACAAATGTCTGAGTATGAAAGACAGCCAGATGATAATCTGGCAATGTCTCAGAATTACTATATTGTCTACAGATTTATATTCCAGAAGGTGTAATTGGTGAATAATTCACATCTTATTTATAAATGCATCATGGTCATTAGTTTTCATCTGGTGTATGTTCTTACCTCATTTTCATGGTCCAACGTCTAGACAAAAACTCTGTAGAGATCCTGTCTTTCTCATGCACGACAAGGATGCTGTCCTGGCAGGATAGAATAGACTACATAAACTATTTATATGAAACTTTATACTTCAGAAGTTGGAAGAGCTGGACAATTCATATCTTGAAACTTTTAATATGGTTGATGTTTCTTTCTAGCATATGTCGATTGTTCTTAACCTCTTTATCATGATTCCGTGACTGCTTAAAGTAACTATCATTTGATTTTAAAAGTTGGTATGAGTAAAAGGTCAGCAGACTTTGGTATTTAGAAGCATTGAAAGATAGCAGAAGTTTGATTTGGTACGTCAGACGCGCGTTTTGTCTACATCAGACTCATCAGTTGCGCTGGAATAAAACAGTTGCTAGGGCAAATTGATAACGAAGTTGGGACAACATTCAAAACCAAATGCCGCGCTTTTAATGGAGATGCAGCAAATCCATGTATCAGTTTTAAAGTCTTACGTTTGAGGGCTACAATACCAAAACAGTAAAAATACAGAATAACATGACATGATATGTTGTACATATATACCAAAGGGGAATGTTGTTCAAAGAAATACAGTTTTAATATCTTATTGCATTTAATAGAAAATGGGGATTTTGTGGCAAATAAGCCAATAGTTTTGCAAAAATCCAACAGATATTTTCATCACAAAACTGTAAACATAGATTACTCACTTAGTTGTCCATGATGCGCTAGCGTTTATTGTCTACAAAAAGTCCTAAACAATCCAAAAAACTCGTGCTGAGTCGCTAAAGTCGTGCGTACAATTGAATGTGTACTTGACTAGGTATTTTTATACTTGTTTAACCAACATCTTTATTTACATACTTGTTTTAGGGAAAAGTAAAATAACAAAAATACCAAACTCCAAGGGAAATTCGAAACGGAAAGTCCTTTATCAAATGGCAAAATCAAAAGCTCAAACACATAAAACGAATGGATACGGCTGTCATATTCCTGACTTGGTACAGGCATTTCCTGATGCAGAAAATGGTGGATTAAACCTGGTTTTATAGCTAGCTAAACCTCTCACTTTTATTGTATGACAGTCGCATAGAATTCCATTTGATTGACAACAACGTGTGAGCAAAACAAACAGAAACAATAGGTAAAAATGTCACAAATTTTAGATTGAAATTTTGGTACAGCAGTCAACATTGTAATTTAATCTTAATCACTACAAAAACAAATAACTATTTCAACAAAGAAAAACAAATTGGTATACAAACACTGTATAAACAAAGTACATAAGCAAAAGTGAAAGACAAAAAACAAAATTGACCATAGCACAATAACACAATGGCGGGATGTATAAGTACCAAGCCACGCTAAAAGTATATTACCAAAAATGGACTAAACAGTAAATCATATCTAGCACTCCATGCAATAATCCTCTGTCTATAAGGCACCGAATTGTCAAATATAGGAGTACAAGGGAAATGCTGTATTTTTTAATAAATTCAATATGATAAGCATTGAAACAACAAAAGGGTACATTATCCTTAAATGAATGATTATTTACATTGTTCAGAAGTGGTTTACACATAACAAGGGGATCTTAATGTTTGTACATATTATCGTAATTTCTGCCTCTGGCTAAGTCTGTCTAGATTTAAAGCAAAGAAATACGAATAAACTCATAAAAATTGTAACTATACGATGGATAAATAAGTAAGGCCGTCGATTCTGATGTCTGCTCTCTCTCAGTATTGGTAGCGTGAATAAATAATCTATAGTAGAAAATGGTACGTTTATAAAACTTCTGGAACAGCTGATATATTTACATACATGTACAATGTTCTAACAACTATATAATTTACATATGGGGCGGAGCTACTAAAATAACATTCTTTCTTGTATTTTTGCACTGACCAAACGGGGATATCTTAAATTCTACATTGCAAATAAATCCAATAGATGCGAGGCTAACAGCTACCTGCGCTGCTTCTTACCTCTTAACTACGACAATTACTTATAAAATATACGGGGCATACAGCTAAATGCGCTGCTTCTTACCTCTAGAAACCCCCAGAATCCTTGCTGTAGGCCAAATGTAAGCACAGCAAAGACAGACAAACATGACCTTGTTCTGGTATTTAGTCATAACTTACCGGAAGTAAACATTCTAAGCAGTAGGAATAACATAACGTCAAACGCTGACTGAAAATATAGAAGTCCTCGACTTAAAATGCTTATTCTAATAAACTATCGTGACTAAACCAATCCAGGCATGTCTATTCTTCCAGTTACGAAATCATAAGTGTACACATTTGACGGGTACACGTTTAGAATATTGACCCAACGGTAACCTTTTGAAGAACACATGACAAAGTTGCGCCATATTTGACGTTATCGATACAGCTAATAACTTAAAGTAAAACGTACGTTAATTGCTTATTAAAATATGATGACCTATAATTGTTCACTTTGTACACATTGTGACTTGGATGGAGAGTTGTCTCATTGGCACTCATACCACATCTTCTTATTTCTATTAAAACTAGGAATAACTTCTAAAAACTAATACAAAATCTCAAATTACCAAAGTAACAATATTTCATTATTTAAATTGGAATCATCAGTGAACACATTTGCAACACATATATAAGAGGTAATACTAAAATAGCTTATACAATTATGACATGATAGTCTGGATACAAGTTACAATTTTTACAGTAAAATTTTGCAAGGGTTAAAGAGGGTGACTCGATCAGCATTCGCTAATCTACCTTGAAGCCCTCACAAAAACATATAGAACAAGTATTACAAATATTACAATTTTTGAACATATAATTAAACTTTCACGCTAAATGATTGTCTGTAGAACAAGAAAAACAAAATAATACATTATACACAAACATTTAAAAGACACGATAGAGTCAAAGAGTTATTACATATCATTCATAAAAATCTACACATTTTCCGTTAAAAGTACCAAGATTTTCACATTGTTTTATTTCATTTGGTAGTTTATTCCAAAGTATTGAGGAGCTATATGTGAATGGTTTTTTCATGGAATTTGTGTTAGGCCTCACTACAGCTAGATTATTATTTGTAGAAGATCTTAAATTGCTGCTTTGTAGGTTTATAATTGGACAACATGGTTCTTTAAGGTAATTATGTGCTTTATTATTTAGAATTTTATGAACAAGAATCAATTTATGATAAGAAATCCTAGATTTGAAATTTAACCATTTTAGCTCTTTAAATAAATTTACAGTAGAAGAAGGGAAAATACTTCCTTTAAATGGAGGAATATAATTATGATACTTTATCAAATGAATATTTATTATTCTATTGATTTGAACCATGAAATTGTATAGATTGTTATTGATTTAATACTACTGCCTTTCTATTTAGTGCAATACATATGTATATAATAATTCTATGCACTACATACACTCAGTAAAGTACAGCCCTAATTTAAGCCTGAGTAATAAATTGTTTGGTTTAGGGAATACTTACACTAAGGGTCCTAAGGACATTATATATGAATCATTTTGTTTAGGGGATACTTACACTAAGGGTCCTAAGGACATTATATATGAATCATTTTGTTTAGGGGATACTTACACTAAGGGTCCTAAGGACATTATATATGAATCATTTTGTTTAGGGGATACTTACACTAAGGGTCCTATGTCATTATATATGAATCATTTTGTTTAGGGGATACTTACACTTATAGTCCTAAGGACATTATATATGAATCATTTTGTTTAGGGGACTACATTGAATTACGATCTTTTTTAATATATTGAATATAAATTGTTTGGTTTTGCACTATGATTAGGATTAAAGAGATGAATTATTTAGGGAATTCATAGTAAGGATAGTAATAGAATGTAAAAAATCGTTGACTTTGATTCAGTGATTTAGTTCAAATCATTGAGACATAAGAAATCAGATGGCTTTGGAAAATTGTTATTACTTGTAAATTATAAATTTGTTCAGCTAGGGAAAATGCTATACTTGGGGAAAAATATTTGATTTGCGGAAAGATTACGATTAGTTTGTATGATTTAGGTTAACATTCTACCTAAGACTTCACTCCCTTGGAAAGAAAAAGTTAAAGACTTGAATTCCTGGTCATTAGAATTAGAAAAAAATCGTTTTGTTTAATGACCCGTGCTACAAAGTAATTTAACAATCTGTTGAAAATTGAAAACAGATGGCATTGCCCAAAAGCCAAAACAATCTTTTAACCTTCTGTGTTGACATGAATCATTATTGAAATGGTCATAATTATAAAAAAACTGTATATAAAAATCTTTATAATGAATTTGTGAAAATATTCAAGTGCATTTGTTTAGATCAAAAGAAGTAACTTTCAATTAATGGCTTGCACAGAACTGAGAAAAATCTGCTACATTGATTCAAATGAAAATCTCTTTGGTCTAAGGAATTAAAGTCAATAACAAACGGTTATCCACGTAAGGTGTTAACCATCAGTTTGTTACGTTTATCTCTAAAAAAAACCCAAATTGTTATAATAAATTTTTATCCCATTTGGTCTAAAAGACCAACTGATCTATTGCAATAACTTGACATCTGTCGTCGTCTGTGATCGTAAACTTAAAAAAACATCTCCTCTGTGTTAATATCGAGGTACCTTACATGGAAAAAATTCCTTTATGTTATTCAAATACATGGTTACAGATGAAACACATATGTTTCTATATGTTGTTATTGACTCAGACTAATACATGATGGTTTTTGTTATACAGGTATACAAGTTTGGTGGTCACATTACATAATCTGTTTTGCCAAAACTAAGAAACAGGGGAAATTTTCATCAATTAATTTTATTATTTACAGAAAAGAAGATGACAAAAAAAGTCATGTAGAAGGCTATTGATATGGCTAGCAGATTCTTTAAAAACTGTGTATATACAATGCTTGTCTTTTTTTTTAGACAAATAAAGAAATGCACTGATGTCTAAGTTTCTTAGTTCTCCCCAGTTGCCTCCAGGGACAAAGCCTCTGCCTACCCAAGTAGCTGGACACAAGTATGGAGATGGAAACATAGGTATGTATATATATATATATTAATGTCTCCCCATGAATTATTACCCCATCTGATATGTTAGTGAATTATTTACTCTTAAATATCCTAATGTTCAAGTCATATTTTAGGCAGTTAAGCTGCTTAATGCTAGCATAGCATATTTTCTCTCCCCCCCCCCCCCTCCCCGGGAATTCTGAAATAGGTGCCATTGCCATTTTCTAGCAGGCTGGTAGTTTATTTATAATTAATTGGACATGTTTTCATACTTTTAATTCTGGAATACAAAACATATGTCTAGAATAACCTTAAATGATCGTCGACCAACCCACAATAAATGACGTTACACTTAGGAAATAGTGCTCAATGGAAAGTCTAACATTGTTTTATCTTCTGTGCTTTTGATAAGGATGTTAAAGAACAATTGTATGAAATATTTTATAGCCGAAAACTTTGTATATACAAGTTGTTTACATTTGTCAAATGGCAATAGGCACATGAATGTTGTTTGGCGTTTATTTTAACTTGAAGACGAAAAGTCAATTTCAAGGATTTATAACACTGTGAGTTATAGCAGCATCAGAACCAACGTCCTTGTAATATGTGGTAGTCATGCATTGATCCTTTCCTTCCTTCATGTATTATATTATTCTGTTTTATTACATAACTGGCCCTGTCAACTCTAGTTTATATAGTTCTAAAAATGGCGTGGTCCGGGTGACATAGCTATCATATCGGACCCTTTGTCCGGTAAATAATTTCAATCTTTTAGGTCCGATAACAATTTTCAGTGTCAAAAGATTAATTTTGACTGGTCCCGCAGTCACTTCGCAAACAGATAAGTAGAAACGGAAAGGGTCTATGTTGACTTCCGGTTTTTAATGCATCAGGTGATTGTGCATGATCAATCGATGTATACACTAAGGTCGTCCTTAATCACAGGTCGTACCTACGTTTTGGTAAATCTCTTATACGTCTCTGCAACACATAATTTTACAATGAAATTCAGTTTTAAACACAAAAAAAATAATGATACCCTATTCAAGCATCATATTCTGATTTGATCGACTTAAATGTCTTTTCCTTATAACTTGTCCGTAAATAGAAGGCTGAGATCTACATTGGGGCGATTGTTAATATTTGGATATACTGCGTTACATTTAAAAAATGCGTTTACTCGTTTTTTTTTTTTAACAAACTTGACCGTTGTTTTTGTGAACCTTATATAGCATTTTTGGAAAAAAAAAAAAAAAAAAAAATACCGAACTCCAAGGAAAATTCAAAACGGGAAGTCCCTCAACAAATGACAAAATCAAAAGCTCAAACACACCAAACGAATGAAAAACAACTGTCACATTCCTGACTTGGTACAGGCATTTCCTTATGTAGAAAATAGCAGATTAACCCTGGTTCTATAGCTAGCTAACCTTCTCACTTGTATGACAGTCGCATATAATTCCATTCCATTGAGCAAAACAAACAGAATAAATAGGTGAAAATGTCAAAAGTTGGAGTACAGCAGTGAACATAGTGTTATAATCTTAATCACTACAAAAACAAACAACTATGTCTACAAAGAAAACAAAAGATGGCATATAGACACTATATATACAAAGCACATATGTAAAAATTAAAGACAAGAATAAAAAAATGACCATACAACTGATGGTTTTGAATTATTCTCAGCACATAATTATGTGAATGATCATATGGTGAAGTTTTGTGGTTTTTTCCAATGTTCTAAATAAATTACGCTCGAATCAAAATAGTTAAATGGCCAAAACAAAGTATGAAGTTGAAGAATGAAATCAAAGATGTGTGGTTCATCTTATAGTGAATTGAGTGGTACATGTCAGTGATAATATGTAGAACAAACACATTCACGCATGTATAAACAACACTGACATATAAACCTGACATCAACTAACATTAAACCCTTCAGCAGGTGCTCTGGAAGAGTGAACATGGTTTAAATTTTTTTGTATAATACTAAACGTGAATTGCACTGTTTTATGCTGCAAAGTTTACATTTTACCGAAATGTCTTATGACTTTTCAGATCATTACATATGTACATACATCATGAAATATTTATGAATACTTTACACATTTGGTGGGGATGTGTTACATGATAAGGGATCAGTATGTTTGCTTGTCTGTGATACATAATATCCAGTCATCAGTTCTCTAGAATTATTGAAATATTTAATCAAACCTCCTCTTTGCATTGAAGTTGTTTAGCCTGCATTTAGATTTCGCATGAAAGTCTTATACAAAAAGAAATCAATGTAGAATTATCTTGTGATATTTGATAACAGTTTAATTTTTTCAGGATGTTTAGAGGTAGATGATGGTACCATACTAAAACTTGTGCAGAATCCACCTAATGGTCAAAGAGAGTTAGACTTTTATGATGAAATCTTCAAGTCAACATACGACAACACACTGATAGAACTTAGGTCATTTGTACCAGAATTCCATGGTGTAATCCATGGAGAAACAAATGGTGGTGTAGCCAAACGTAAGACAGCCTTTTTTATTATCTGTCGGAACTGTCTGTAAGATAAAGGGTTTAATGTCACTTTCCATTACCACAATTTGATTTGGTTTCTCTCTGTATAATTAGTCTTACTTGATTTATAATTCATATATATAGGAGTATCTCGTGTTATCATAATTATAAGATTGAAATAACTGTTCAAACTCCATTTGACTTGTGAAGTCAGTTTCATACATGATATATAATGTATGTTGTAAAGTGTATTAAATTACCACAAGTTGATCAATGTACACTACAAACTGCTCAGAGTCTGAAAAGACAATATTTTATGCTCGACCAGTGAAATCGAGCACAGATTTTACTCGACAGTACTTAACTGTACTTAAATGTACTCGACTATACTTAATAAGTCTGATTCAGTACTTGATGATCTTGATGCAGTCTGAAATGGTCTCGACCAGGGCTCGACTAGTCTCGACCTGTCTCGACTAGTCTTGACTTTCAAATTTAGTCTTCACTGGTCTGAATCAGCCCTTCTAACTACATTAAATGTAGATCTTACAAAATTCCAGTTTGTTTGGTAGTTTGGTTCATTGCTGTGAAACTAAAGAATTTAATTAATAGGCAAAAAAAAATCGATTAAATTCAGATAGTATTCATTAACAGCAATAAACCAAATTACCAAATAACCTGTTTTTTTGTTAGATAAATATATATTGGAGATAGCTGTAGATTTTGATGAAAATCCAAGTTGTTTTGAAATAGTTATAAATATAAAAAAATTTAAAGATAACTATCTGAATTAAGTCCGAACTGAAAATTCTAGCTTTTTTACCCTTGATTTATTAAACCCTTACATTTGACAGCAATATGCCGAACAACATAACAAATTGGGATTAAGTACGATCAATATACAACTGAGATAGCTGTATAGTTTTATGAAAATCCAAGTTAATTTGAAAAAGAAATAAACAAATTTAAAGGTGACTATCTGATTTCAGTCTGAACTGAAAATTCTAGCTTATTTAATTACCTATCAATGAAATCCTTAATTTTGACAGCAACTAACCAAAGTACCAAACAACCTGGCATTCTATAAGATAAATATATAACTGAGATATAGGCGAGTGACATTTTTCAAAAAGACGCCTTGTTAACGACTTTAATGCACCCACCTAACATACGGCTATATTATATATCATTCGAAAGCTTATTATCTGTACTTTCTGTTTTGCCCGGTCGTCAATAATTCGTACGGTGCAATTTGCGTTAAATCAAGGTCAAAGGTTAAAATTGAACATTCCTTAATTTTGCCAGAATTAAACAAAATGCTATTTTCTGGTACTTGTATGGATTTTTTTTTCTAAAAATGATCTAAACCTTTTATAACAATAACCATCGGTCAAAAATCAAATGCAAAATTAATTGTTGATTGCTCTATATTTACAGAAAATTGCATTTCTTAAAAAAACTTTCAAAAATGTTAAAATTGCAATAAAATCTAAATATTTTCTTAAGTTTTAATATTTGTATGTCGAAAATAGAATAGATTTATCGTTTATAGGCCAAGGGAATATTTTCATCATTTTAAACTGCAACTAATATGATATAGGACAAGATGCAGCCTTCAATTGAAGCTATTGCAGTTGCCCTAAAAAACACTATCTGCGAATGGGGATCATTTTGCTTTTACTGGCTACATAATATTGCCAATATCGGCAGATAATGATCAACCATATCTAAAAAAAGGATTATGGAAGAACTTTAAGGAACAAAAAAGGTATACTTGACAAAAATTAGTTTTCCGATGTGGAAAGACATGTTACGAAGTTTATTCTCGTTCAATGTTTCAATAAAAACTGTTTGTACCATGCGCTTTCAATATCAAATCCGGCGAATTCATTTTGATGTTAGACCGTCATTATATACTTTATTAGTTGTTTTATTAAATATGACTGAAAATTAATAATTCAGATTAATTAAGATTGAATACCTTTCCTGAGCAACTGTAATCACCATACTGGTTTACGTAGTGTTCGCACATTTCGGTATAGTGTTTTAAGAAGTTTTGTTTGTCTGTCCTACTTTTTCGCCTTGGTCATGCTGTCATCTGTTTTCCGACATTACTTGGTAGAATTAAGGAAGTTCAAAGTGCACATATAGAGGTTATACGTGAAGGGATTTGTTTCATAATAGACATATTCAAAGAGAATTAAAAGTAGTAATCTCTTAAAATTGACCAGAACATACATGCTTTCAAGCTATCTCATAAAGTTAACCCCAATCTTATTAAAATGTAGATCTCTGATTTCGTTATTCTCATACGATGAATGAGCAGGCGAGTCGTGATAGATATGAATTTTAGTCAGATTGTTTAAACCCATGTTTTTACATTTATACATAACATTATGTACGTTTTTTATTTCATGAACTTATATATCACTTATCATTGTTGTGAGATCTTCGCATCATTAAAAACCCGAACGGAAAAAATATGAAAATAAAGTGAGAAAATCACCAAAAGTCGCTGTCAGATCAACAACAGAGGGTTCAGTGGACAATAAATATCCATAAACATAATTTAAGATTAGATGACATAAAACCAATTAAAAAACATGATAAATTAAGGCAACAGTAGTATACCGCTGGTCAATAGTCATAAACCGATTGAGAGAAAACAAATCCGGGTTACAAACTAAAACTGAGGGAAACACATCAACTATAAGAGGAAAACAACGAAACAACAGAAACACTGAAGTGCAACAAAAAAATCCAAACGACTATGCAACATACATAGAAACTAACTACTAAGTATTAGATAACAACTGCCACTGGATAAATTCAACCACAATTTTCATTTTTCACAATTGTATAGGTATTTTAGAATAAAATGACTTCATTTTATCCATATTTATTCTTAATGTACATGTAATATCTTTAGGTTAATATGCCAACGTCCAACCAATGCTTAACAGATGATCTACTATATTTTTCTTTTTTTCTAAATGCCTTAAAATATTATGTGAATTTGCATTATATTGAAATTTTAATGCAAATCATGGCCAATTAAGTTTGAAATAAAAGTGGTTCAAATGCATTTACATTTCTGTTTCTATTACGCAACATTACTTGTAACATTAGCTGAATTAAACATCAACATCAAACCTGCTTTGTTTTGTAAGAGGTTGCCTACTTTTACAAAAGGTAATTGATGCTGATTGGTAGATTTTTGTTGTGACACCTACACTGGCAGTAATTTCGTCCATGATACTAATAGCTATAACTTATGTTCTGTTGATGGGGATTGCCAGTTGCCTGTCGAAGGTCGGTGGTTCCTTGGGCACTCCGTAGGCCTAAACCAATAAAAACTGATCGCCGCTAAATACTTTAATAGCCAATAGTGCTGAACCGAAAATTGCGTCAAACACCAACAATTCATCAATCATCTTTATATTATAACGTATGTATATGTAAACTATTCAGGAAGTGTATGTATTGTTATTGCGAATTGCTAGAATTTCCATCTAAAAAATTAATGTAAGTAAATATAATTGCGAAATTCTCAATTTATAAACAAGAATTACGTAGTTTGTTAGGATTAAATACCTTGACCAGGCATAAAGAACATTTCAGTCGCTAGCTTATAATAATTTTCACTAAGATCCTCAGTCAATACAAGATGCAGTATAAGCAACCAAGAAAACATATAAATATTGAAATATTGAAATATCAAAGTTTCGCTCCAAAACTTTCCCCTAAAAGCATGAATGACCTATGTATTCTGTCCTGTAACAATTTTGCACTTTTAAGATTTGTGTTTTTCAACCTAATATTGACTACATACAAATTGATTTAACAAAGAACAGCTAAAAAAGCTTTTTTTTTGCAGATGGCGGTATTTTGGGCAACTACATGGTTGTTATAAGTGGCTGTATAATTAACAAGTGGCGTAATTGCAGTAATCTAATTATGTCAAAAACATCCTAAGCACTAAATAAAGTATGTTATTTGGTTTTATGGTGAATAACAGTTGATACACAGACACAAATTTTGGTTTTCATGCATTTTTGTCATTTTCAATGGAATTTCTGGAAAACGGCGCTATTTATTAAAATTCCGACATTAATATTTCAAAGTGCTTTTGATAAGTTACTATTAACATCTGTTCTAACAGATTGAAAAAGTTAACAAAAAATTTAAAGTTGACTATCTGAATTTAGTCCGAACTGCAAATTTTAGCTTTTTTGACCTAGATTAATTTAATCCTAACATTTGACAGCAATACACCAAACTACATAAAGACCTGGGATTCAGAAAGATCAATATATAACTTAGATAGCTGTATAGTTTTATGAAAAAGAAATAAACAAATTTGAAGTTGACTATCTGAATTCAGTCCGACTGAAAATTTTAGCTTTTTTACTTATTAATTAAATCCTCAAATTTGACAGCAATTAATCAAGCAACGAAACCACCTGGCATTCTGTAAGAACAAAGTATAATTGAGATAGCTGTAGAGTTTTATAAAAATCCAAGTTTGTTTGAAAAAGTTATAGAAATAATTAAAGATGACTATCTGAATTTAATCTAATTTGTTTTTACCTATTAATTAAATTCTTTAGTTTCACAGCAATGAACCAAACTACCAAATAAACTGGAATTTTATAAGATCTATATTTAATTTAGTTAGATGGGCTGATTCTGACCAGTGAAGACTAAATTTGAAGATCAAGACTAGTCGAGACTGGTCAAGACTGGTCGAGACAGAGTCGAGACTAGTCGAGACAGGTTGAGATTGGTCGAGACAGGTCGAGACTGGTCGAGCCTTGTGCGAGACCATTTCAGACTACACCAAGATCATCAAGTACTGAATCAGACTTATTAAGTAAAGTCGAGACCAAAGTCGAGTACAATTAAGTAAAGTTAAGTACTGTCGAGACAATGTCGAGTCTAGTCGAGTAAAATCTGTGCCCGATTTTACTGGTCGAGCACAAAACATGGTCTTTTCAGATTCTGAGCAGTTTGTAGTGGTATGGTTCAGGAAATAGGACAATTCTTTATCTCTGATCTAACTCGCTGAAAGGAGTTTAGAAAAAAAAAGGAATTATTTGTTAAATATCAAAGGTCACAACAATTCATCATTATCACTGAAGTTAAACATGGTTACTGTGAGAAATGTTTACTGTTGACTATGGTAATATCAGATGAAATTTAAAGCAGATCGTGATATAATGTTAAAGATAAGGAGTTCTTTCTAACTAATATAAATGACAAAATTCTAAATATGTTCAAGCTTAAGATTTTTCCTGATATACATGAAATATTTACCACTTGAAATAACAAGTAGAAATCAATCATGTAAATATGTTAAGCAGTATGTAATGAGTCAAGATTTGTTCTTAGTTTTGTTTTAATAGTTTGCTTGAAAAGTTCCCAATCATATTCCCCTTATAACTTCAGCTTATATATAGCCCTGAACATGCATTACATATTTGGCACTGGAGGTAAAACAAACAACAATCAATTGATCAGTTTCTAGATAGATTAGATATGTTGTAATTTTTCCCCACACCAGTAAAGGGTCATAGAAGAATTGTACACATAGAGATATCATTAAATATAAGATCATGGAAATGTGGTCCCTAAATAAACTATGAGATAATCTTTCTTGTTACATAAACTAAAGTTAAAAAGACTTTGTCAATGTTGATGTTTGCCATGCACGGTGAAATTAATGTTATTTTTGATATTTTCATCACAATATTATAATTGTGAAATACGTCTTTACCTTTATTTTCCAGACCAATACTTGAAGTTAGAAAACTTGATAAAGAAACTTTCCAAGCCATGTGTTTTGGACATAAAAATGGGGAGAAAAACATATGACCCAGAAGCCTCACCAGAAAAAGTGGCATCACAAATAGCAAAATTTCCCCCTGTCCTGCAGCTTGGATATCAGTTCACAGGAATGCTTGTAAAACACTATTCACTGTATAATTATGTATCATCTGCTCAGTAGTCAGTGATTTCCTAAAATTCATTGATAAATTATGGAAATTATTGCATATGAAGAAAGTAAGGTTCCAACTTCTGCAAGGCAAAGTTGACCATAGCTGAATATGGCTTTTCCTTTAAGGTCACTTTTGGTCTTGTAGCTTGTTATGTTTCTACGCATTAATACATCGCTGGCTTCATCAGGTCAGAAGTCAGTGTTTCAGTATTGAAACGATTTATAAGATATTCCCCTAAAATTCCCTTCTGATAATTGCAGAAAATATTACATAATAGATTCCAAATCTATCAGGCAAAGTTGACCTTTTTTTGACTTTTCCTCTAAGGTCCCTTTTGAAGATTAATCTCCCAACATTTCTTCATATTTATACATCGCTTGTTTTCAAAAACTTGGGTTTGAGTGTTCATGATGAAAGTAAATCCAGGATGGTGCTTCAGACGAAAAAAAATGAATTAAATGTAATTTTCATTTATACTTTGATGTACACAGAAGACATTTGCATGAGCAGCGCCATCACTTGTAATCAGTCTTTATCTATCAAGTAACATGATGAGTTTATTTACATAGTACTGTTTCGGTTCTTGTACATCCTTGGGTTTCAAACATAAACATTCGACTTTGAGAGTTCCTGATGAAGGTAAATCTAGAAAAGCGCGTCGGATGAATAACATTTATAACGTGTTGTTTTCATTCTCTATTTGTTCATACCATGTGAGTTTGGTTTGCCACTTAGGATTTAACTTTAGTAGAATCATTCAATTCTCAAATCTTCATCACTGCATAAGTATCCATAAAGGCATCTGACTGTCTTTTACATTTCTAGTATATGCTTGAAATAATTTGACCTATTTAGACCCTGCATTGATGGAATGGGTGGAGATACAGGTGTTTATGGTGCTGAACTGTTTTTAATGTTCAAACTAAAAAAGTCTGACTTAATCAGAAACATTATAAGAACAAATTTTGTATCTATGATTTAGATTATCTGCAGAAGGAGTCAAGGTATTTTTTGTTTGACATTTGGTATATTGACAAAAAATAGCTTATTTGAAAACATTGCATAGATCTGCCAATTGGATGCAATTCCGGGGATGAGAGCATTCACAGTAATGGTGCATAAGATATAGAATCACTAATTAGGGTCCGATCAGACAGAATATACAAGAAAGTAGTAGATATTTTAAACAGAATAGTTCCTACCCATAGCTGTAACTTTGTCAATAAGTAAAATACTTGGGTGATTTTGGGTATCAAAGGGAATCTTATGGACTTGGGTTCACTATAGAAACCGTGTTGAAAGTTTTTTCTCAATAATAAAATAATAGGAAGGCACATGTGCCCTGTTGTTCAGATCAGAAGTACGTGTTCTTGTACTACCAAACGTCCGGGAACGAATCATTCTAATATGCAATTAAAGGTATGTTGAATTTTTCAGCACAAGTCAGGTATAGTTTTGACATGAAATGACTGGAACATAATTTGTAGTTAAGAAAAAGTAGCCTTTCATGCTTGAACTTGCAGAATTTAACATAGAAAGCTATGGGAATACGAATTAGTAGTGTTATTCCTATTTCTGAAAGGAATGTGAAATTCAAACTTTAGAAACTCATACCCAATACAATGAAAATTGGTCACATTTGCTGTCAGTTATCATGTTACATAATTTTCTCAATGTTGGTTTCAAATTACAGCTCCCAAATTGCTACAATAGGATATATCAGCCTTGTCTGGGTCATTTAGCATGCAAACAGTTAAGACTTAACCTGAAGTTTTAATTTTTGCGTTATTCAAGACTGAAATCAATGAAACATGCATAGTATGACTGGTTTATAGTAAAAATATAGATTTCGGTCAAATTATCTAGTGAGTTTTCATGTTTTATTGGGTTTCTTAGTAGATCATTTATTTCTAAGGAAATTGGTATATACTTGGATAAGAATTCTAAAATCTCACTTGGAATGCCATTTTCAACCAGTTAAGCAAGATGTCTAGCTGGGAAATACATGAATTTCTCTTGTTGGTCCATGTTTAACATAAAAGTATGTTTTTACCAAGATACACTCCTTTTCCAACATGTTAAAAAAGGGGGAAATATTTCAAATATGTTTATGTTAGGACCACTATATTTATATTCAATAAAAAATCTCTGTTAAAATAAGACATATAAGTAAGAACATTGCTATTTGAGTAGATATTAACCAGTGCTCTCTAATATGTAATCAAAGGTATATTAAATTTTTCAGCACAAGTCAGGATAAGGTATGAATTGCAGAATTTAATAAAGAAAGCATTGGGATATGAATTAGTAGTTTTATTCCTTAACAGTATCAAAATACAGAATAAATCTAAGTAGTCTTATGATATCATTAACCCTATCTATAAGTTTAACTCTTACTTCAGATTTTACAAATTTAGGAGCCTGTATTTAAAGATAAAGATTTCATTTGATAATTAGACAGAATTTTTGTTTTTGATAAAACCTAATACTAAATGCATATATACATTTTTCAGAAATTTGATACAGACAAAAACAAGATGGTCAAATATGATAAATATTTCTGTAGAAAGTTGACAGAGAAAACAATGCTTATTGATGGTAAGTGTAACACTCTTGTTTTATATGTTGCCATGAAGATAAATGTGGCAAATGTATACATATTGATATATGCAGGTGCTTGATGTACCCTTTTCTAGTCTAAAGTGAGTTGTCTTACGATTTGGTTTTGAATTGCAAAAAAGTCTGGAAAAACTATGGATAAAAGAGGGACGAAAGATACCAGAGGGACAGTCAAACTCATAGATCGAAAACAAACTGACAACGCCATGGCCAAAAATAAAAAGACAAACAGACAAATAATAGTACAGATGACACAACATAGAAAACTAAAGACTAAGCAACACGAACCCCACCAAAAACTGGGGGTGATCTCAGGACAAAACAATAATGAATACAACAAACAGTATGAAAGACACCAATCAATGACAACCTGTTAATTACAGGCTCCTTAGTTGGCACAGGCACATTCAGATTGTGGTGGGAATATTAAAACTCATAAGACAACAAAAACTGACAACAATATGGCAAAAAAAAAAACATGACGAAAAGACAAACAACAATATCCCATGATAATTTTTCAAACACTTACTTCAATTCTAAATATTGTTGAGGTAATTTGAATGATGCCAATACTATATGAATTCATCATTGTTACCTGTTTTGAAAGTTGTATATTTCATAACAATTTCTCTTTTGATTTTTATTATGTGTGTGTTTGTTTGATTATTTGTGATTCTTTGTTTATTGTATTTCAATGTAGTTCATGAGAGCCTCAGGGAAGATTAATTTTATAGCCTACAGTGTAACCCTCTTTAAAAAGAATTATTATTATAATTTTTATTATTATTATTATTATTATTATTATTATTCTCAATCTGCTAGTCACATTTGTCAAATATGGGTTTTAGTTGGAAATGTTAGATTATATTGTGTTCAGCTATGATTTTTTAATGACTAACATCTTTGATAATAAAAACTGGAACAGTTGATGGACTTATCTATTGAAATACAGAAAAACAAATTTCTTGTTTTGAGGTTTGAATTTTTATTTTTGCTGCCCAAAATGGTATAGTAAAATCATCCCTGAATTCACATATTATTCATGAATCGGACATGGATCAGATGCGACAAACCCTTTCTATACACGCAACAGTACAGAATGTAGCTTTTTTCAGCTTATAAGCAGTGATCATTTGTCCTGATTATGCATGAAAGATTTCCAATTGGACATTAAGCAAACAAAAATCAATCAATCAATTGTGAAAAATCTTTATAATGGGACTCACAGCTGATATTTTATAATATTAATATGCAGAAAATCAAATAATTATTATACATGACTTATCAAATCATACCAACGTCCTACATTCTCTGTATTTTGTTATATAACCATAATTTTCTGAATAAAAATCTCTTTTTTTAGGATTAGGTGAATTTTTTCGTCAAGGCAAATACTACAGAAAAGATTATATCCAAGCCGTGGTTGACAAATTAAAATCGATAGAAACCTGGTTCCTAAATCAGAAAAAATATGCGTTTTATGCCAGTTCATTGCTGCTTGTTTACAATGCATCTGTAGACATAACTGAAGCACAGGATATAGTATGGTGTTCTGAAGAAAAGGAAGAAAAACTGGACAGTATGGAAGACAATAAAATAGACTTAAATTATGAATCCGACATTAATCAAACTTACGATCGGCTCAAAGAGGAAGGAAGTGACGAAACCGGAAATTCTTCTTTTAACCATAACAATCCAGATAGAAGTTTTGTAGATGTACGAATGATTGATTTTACCCATGTGTTTCCGTCAGAAGACCGAGATGAGAATTATATATTTGGATTACAAAACTTAATTAAACATTTACAATCTCTGCTTGATATGTAATTCCTAATTTTTTTAACAGAAATGTGCAAATATGTGTGAGTGCCTTAATGTTTCCAGATCAACACTTATGTGTTATGTGGTTATGTAAAGCTTGTTATTTTAACTTCACTATTTTTTTTATAACAAGTGTATTTTTTTTTGTTCAAGAAGACTGTTAACATGCTTTAAAGATCTGTGATTTTTTTTTTCATAAAGCATTAAGAAAAATATTAAGGTGTATAATTAGCTAGTTATTCCTTTGACTATACACCTGTCTTAAATAAAGAAACACGCAATATTTTTCCTGGCCTATTTTTTTTTTTAAAAGATGTTTTACTTTTTAGACTGTCAGAAAGTTTGATTTCCACTGCCATTTTTATACCCTGACAAAAGTATATAGACCATATTAAACCTTGTTAGATTTGATTTGTTGTCTGCTTTTGACAGCTATATAATTATATTGTTCAGTGGATGTTTTAAAAATTTGTCATTTCAATAATACTGAATGCCAATAAAGTACGTATAACTGAGGAGGAGTTATTTCTCTTTCTTAGGCTGTTCTCTCATCCTAGCTACCGATCACAGGGAAAAATTTCCTCTGAATGAAGAGTCGTTTGTTTCAAAGTATAATTATTTTTGATGAGGAGTTCATATTATACAAATTGTTCAAAATCATTGCATATGTAACATTTTTAAAATGTCGGGTTCATACTGATAATTTATATGGTGTTTATGATCTCCTACTGTTGTTTGTTCTTCAATGATGGTATTCAGGCATTACAATATTAAAAACACTGTAACAAACTAAAACCGAGGGAAACACATCAACTATTAGAGGAAAACAACGGAATAACAGAAACACTGACCTACATAGAAACGGACTGTCTGATAACAATTGCCATATTCCTATTTTAAGGAAAAAATGGTGGGTTGAACCTTATTTTATTGCTAGCCAAACCTCCCGCTTATATAGCAATGTTATAAATACCACTAAAATGGCAACGCTACGTGACAGGATTACAATACAAACAAATGCTCAGCACGGAGAAATACATAAATACATTACAACCGCAGAATAACAACGGACACCTCCCATGAATTTCAGACAGCACACCAGGACACCACAAACGAAATATAAACTGCGCGTCACATGAATGGATCAACGTCACAAAAAGACGTTTATATTATCTTTAAATTTCTAAGCATAAAATAGGTTCGTTTTATTTATAGACACGTTCAAGAAAAAGAAAAAGATGATCAGCATAGAACAGTTAGTTTTTAACATGTTAGGTAATGGAATGCGTCAGATGTATCATTATAATAGTGAGTGCTTTTTATATTGATTGTGTGATCATTATAATGGTGAGTGATTTTTATATTGTTTGTGTGCTATAAACATGATAATCAGCTTTAATATACTTTTGGCAATCATTTGACATTCTTGTCACTCTTTTACATCTTTGACAATCTCTTTTCACAATGTTTTAAATCAGATGATTTGCGGCGTCGGAGGCGGCGGCGTCGTCAACAATGTATTCGTTTGCGATAAGGTCAGTTTATTGGGAACCAATAGTGGTAGGTCAATGATATTTGCTATGCAGTTATATTACCATTGGCACATTTCGTGACCATGGAGATTGTTTTGGACCCGCCCCCTTAGTCATGGTCTATTGACTGTGAAACTTTTGCTAAGTTTACATGTATTAGTTTGTGATTAGGTCAGTTTCTGGGATCCTCTAGTGGTAGGTCAATGATATTTGGTATGCAGTTATATATAAGAATTGACACATCTCATTTGCAGTCATGGTTCATTGACTGTGAATATATTGCATAATTTGCATGTCAAAGTATTACAATTTTAATATCACATTTGCATTAGACTATCAAAAATACAAAAAGGCGAGACATATCTCTGTGTTAAGTTTATTTTATATTAAGATGAAATGAGTCTTAGCGAGATAATAAACACTGGCTTTTAACCCCCAATCAATCAGAAGTAATTGTTCATTACAGTCATAGAAGATATCAGAGTAATATTTTCTGTGGGTAAAATCACTTTTTCTATTTTCTAGATAATTGATATTGTAATATTTTACATTGTAACTATTTTGTAATATTGTGCATGTTTTATTAGAAACGTATAAATAATAACAGTGATAATTTGTAATTTATGTAAATATATATTTATATTTTGCCAAAGTACTTGTTAATGCATTAATTATCTTTCAAGCTGACCATAAACTTATGGTTTTGCCAAACTGACCGCAGCTGTTGTTTTGATTCACCTAAAAGCTAAGCTGTACATAGACTTATTGTTTTGATTTGTAGAAAAGTATGATAATTTGTTGTGCTCTGTTGCTGTTGCTATTGTTTTGTTTTAATTTGATTGAACAATATAATAAAATGTAATTAAATGTGACAGATATAATATCTGTCCCAATGATTACACAAGAAAAGCTAAATTGACAAAGATTTATCTTCATTCATTTTTGTCTTGCTTTCGACATTTGTCAAAGAACGAAAGATAATAAAATGATTGTCTGGTGGTGTCTCTCTAGAATTACTGTTTTGTCTAAAGTTTCACTTTCCAGAAGATAAATCATATCTTATTAACAGATGCACTTTCATCTGGTCTATGTTATTGACCTCATCTTCATGGTCTGATGATTTAATAAAAACTGTGTACTTGCTTATGCAAGACAAGGATGCTATCTAGGCAGGATAGCTGACGGCATGAACTTTATATTTAAGAAGGTGAAAGAGCTGGATAATTCATGTCTTTCATACAGATATGCTAAAAATGATTGATTGGATTCAATGATTGCTTGAAGTAACTGTCACTTATCTAATAATTATTACGAATAAAATTTCAGCAGAATTCGGTATTTAGAATCATTGTAACATGGTGCATTGATCAGCGTATATTGTTGTCTCGTCAGGGACGAATGCCTCAGGATGTAAGACATAGGACTGTAATCCGTCTGTGTCAACGTTAGTTCTTTGTGTAACTTTTCAAATTCCAGAATGAAGACCTAAACACTTTCCCTGGCATTTGACCGTTGTGTTTGATCTCATTCATGATTCGGCAACTGTTTTTCTTTTCTTTACAATGTGATTCTCTCGCAGTTATTAGCGAAAGCACACTTGTATTGGATTTAAAGAATCATAGGGATGCATACATATCCATCAGACATAAATCAATGATCAGCGTTTAGTTTTCGGTATTAAATTGGTCCTGTTCCCTGATACTACAACCAATAGGTAAGCTATATTTGGTACATATGATTGTAAGGTGTTCATAATTTAAGTGGTTCATTGGTCAACGTTAAGTTTTGTAATTACATCCGTGTCTCCGATTCTATAAGCAATAGGTCAATTATATTTGTTATACAGACCGATTGTTAGGTGTACGTCTCTCTCTGGCAGGGCTCATCTACCCTTGATCTTATTTTCATGGTTCGTGGGTTATGGCATGTGTTGGTCTTTAGGTTTTACTTTTCATAATAGCTTATCTTTGTTTGGTGTATTGAATGATAGAAATGTGAACATGTCTGTCTGACAGGGTTGATATATTGACCTGGTTTTCATAGTTTATTGGCCAATGCTACGTTTATCTGATTCGGACTTTCTCGCGTACTAATTGTAAAAGCTTAACTTTATCATGTTTATTATGTGTATAATGGTTGTAATTGTAACTATCTGTCTAGCAGTGTTTATCTGACCATGGGAATCATTGATAATGCAAAGTACCTGTTATAACTGTATTGACCCTTTATGTTTCTCGGAAACTATTAGCAATGGGTGAACTAAATTAGGCTTAAAGAATGATTGTAAGTTGATCGTGTCATTTACAGGTTTCTAATGACGTTAACCTGAATTTCCTGGTTTATTTGTCCAAGTTAACTTTTCCTTGATACATTTTGTTTCTCAGATGATGTCAGGAGGGTCCATACTTGAAAGGCAAGGATATTTTTTTGTAACCCGAAATTGTTCTCTCTTAATCGATTTATGACTTCTAAACAGCGGTATAATACTGTTCAAACACTTCAAATACATTAAGCCACATGACTAAAAATGCATACACAAAAATTAATCTGAGGTTAATTTGCCTGAGGGAGTGGAAACCTTAGTTTGTTAATCATTAATAAATGTATAAAAGGAGAATTAGAAAAAAGGTACTAGTGTGTTATAGGTCATGTCAGCACAAGCATTTACTACTGAGCTGGTCCCTTGGACCTTCATGTCATAAGCAACAGTTTCGACACTGCGCTAGAAAACAAGCTTAAGTAACACTTCTACAAATTTGATGCGTCCGAAGCGCCTCGAGCATCACTGAAGAGACATTAACTGATGGAATGCACATCTGGTGCAGTAAAGACTCATTAAAGATATCAGGGTGGTAAATTGGTATGCCAGACGCGCGTTTCGTCTACACCAGACTCACCAGTGGAACTGGAATCAAACAGTTAGAACACCAAATCAAAACAAAACATCAAAAACCGAAAATCCGAAAAAGTTGTGCCAAATTATTTTCCTTCTTGATTCACACCCACATTAAGTATGTAATTCAAACAGAAAGAATTTTAGTTTTTTTCTTCATGATTTACACCCACATCATGTCTGTTGACTTATTGGTATTGTTATACTCAAATATTTTCTGTAATTTTCAGTTACACAATGAATTAGCATTACCAATATCAGTGCGCATGACACCTTCTGGTCATTATTTCATCAACTAAGTTCAAGATCAACAGTTTGGGAAAGAATCAGAACCAAAAGTTGACTAAACCTCATGAGACGTATGATCGTGGATCTGAATTAAATTGACAGTAGTTTACCGATATTCAAGTCTCGTAAATCGATTAAGAAGAGACAAATCAAGGTAACTCGAAAAGGAGCCAAATCGCTTGCGTGGACAGGTTAAGTGTCTCCTGCTATGCATGCATCACCCGCCACGTGAGTGCGCACTCAAGAAAAAGGTCACAGTCAATAAAAGTACACGTTGGACGACTACACTGGTATCCAATGAGCTAAGACTGCGAAAACATGTCGCTAATGGGTTGAGACATCAACACATATTATTGGTTAACCAATTCATGATGGTGACTAAAACTTCTGTAGTGTCGATTTCAGTCGGTCTGCCTCATCACTCTGGTCAAGAAGTCCTTGTGTTTGGAGCACATTCCTGTTAATGAAGTCCGTATATTTTGAACAAGCACGAGACTATCGTATTAACTGAGATATGTAAACTCCATACGATGGAGCAGAGGGTATGTTACTGCTGTGAAAAGGAAAGATAATAATTGGAAAGTTCAAATCATCACGTTTGTCATACATCTAGTTTGAAGTCGTTCATCTGAGTCAATATCGAGGAAAAAATCAAGTTATGGAGCAGACGTTCTACTTTCGGTAGTATCCTTAATTTCAATATCACTGGGGTATATATGAGAGGTAAGCACACACTGAAACGTAGATAATTGAATGACAGAATATCATCAATCTATCTTGGGAAATTAAAGATCTTTGCATGAAGCTTTTTCTCTTTGTCTTTGATAAGGATATATTCTTAGCTAGAAGATGCCTGAGGTCAAAGTTTGTAATGGTTTGAATATTTTATCTATGGATAAAAGTTTGCTGATATCTTTATATGTTAGTTATCATTTGTCAAAGACTAGGAAATATACATATCTGATTAGCAGTTGATGTGCTTCATACTTGTTAATCGATAATCATCATGAATAATTATTTCATCAAATTTATTTCTCAATTAGAAAATGTTGAACTTTTCCGTCAATGCTTTTTTCATTTGTCGAATACATAAAGGCATAACATGACTGGTTATTCATTATAACATAAAAAATCTAAAAGCATAATTCGCCTACTAGTATATAAAAGAGGAAGAGATAC